TTATTTTAAAGACATTTATCCTAAATTTTTCCTAGATCACTTTAGCCAATCATGTCACTCAGTTTCTATTTCTGGTTTTTATTTCTGATTTCTTTCTTAGATTTCACCAATCTATATCTTGACCAGATGTCTGTCCTTCGATACATAGTCAATCAGTCAACTTACTTAAATCTCTCTCTCTGAGAAGCCACGATCCCCATGCTATTCCCATCATCCAATCAATAGTTAGATCAAAGGTCTTTACTTAAATCAATGGAAACATCTTTGCTAGCTTCCTATCCATATCTGAGAAATTCTCAAGCCCAATCTTGTTGTTGATAAGTGTCATCGATTTGGTTTTTCCACATATAGCCACCCTGTATTGGGTTTCTGCGAAGCCACTGGTGGGTTTGAACTGCCCACCTTGTGGTTTGCAGTCCAATGCTAAACCTACAGCATCACACCCCTGTATATCCCATGTGTGTCCTATATTCTCCATCCCATTGATTTAAGTCTTCACTGCCTCTTATGAGTACTGCTCATGATCCCCTAGCTCATCCCTCCAATTGTCAAACTATTCTCTATGCTATCACAAGATCAATCTTTAACACAAGACCAGTTTAATAATATTATAAGAATAGATGAAAATCTTCATTGATTTTCCATTTTCTAAAGAATGAAGTCCAAACTCATGAGCCTATACTGCAAGACTCTTAACAATGTGACTTCAACCAGCCATTCCACCTTCCATCCCTTAAGTGAATGCCAACAAAAGTGTTTCTCCTGCTCCTTAGCCTACTAAAATCTTAATTAATACTTTAAAGGTCTATTTTAAATTAATTGCTTGTCTTTGAAAACTTTCCTAATTCACTTAGTCAAAATCACACTATTCTTACTGTATCTCTTTGTGTTTGTCTGCCCTGTATCTCTCTCTCTTTCTCTTTGTCTCCAGTTCTCTCTTTCTCTCATGTTCTCTCTCTATCCTCTGAGGAAAAAGACTGCAGCTTCTAGAATTCAGTTAAAAAGTTTAATAATGTACCTTTGGATATCTTGGCATTAGCAACCAACACAGTAAAGTTTCAAGAAATACTTTTTAAATGATGAGTCAATGATCTTTCAGGAAGGGAGTTCCCAAATAGAACGTGTACCTTTTTTCAGGTTAAACAAAGACCTACACTTCATCACATCATATTCCTTCCAGACACTTAAAACAGGCAATCTTTAGCCTATGCTTACATTCAAAGGGATAAATGAGCCATCCCTAAGAGCCCTAGTCTGCACATAACAGCTCTTCCAGGATATATCGTTCTGTCTTCTGCTCAGAGAAAACAAATTTGGTTTTTCGAGATCACACAGCTAGAACTAGAAGAACAGCAATTCAATCCTTAGTTCTTCAATTGAAAATACCATAACACTACATTACCACATGTTTTCCATAGTGCTACATTACCATATCTGTAGTAGCAATAACTAAATTGACAAGTATTGACACTGTTGATGAAAAACATCATCTTTTTTTCCCAGATTTTTTTATTTTCTCAGCAGGAATATGTTGTTGTTGTTGCTAAGTGCCGACGACTTGGTTCCAACCCATACCGACCCTGCACAGGGTGTCTAAGGAGCAACTGGTGAGTTTGAACCACCAACCTTGCATTTCAAAGGGACCTTGTGGTCCAGTGCTCATCCTACAGTGCCACACCAGGACTCCAGCAGGAAGAAAGAGGACTTTAAAGTAAAATAATATGCTTTCCAATTTAGACTGAAGACAGAAGTAATCTGTGTTTTTACTTTATTGTAATAATGAAGGCCCCATGGGAAGGATAAAGAACAAGATTTTATAAATTAATAGCCATTCTTATTCAAACACTACTCCTCACATTGTTCAAAAAAAATTTTTTTATCATGATAAATCCCTGTTTCTTTTTCAATACAGAGGATTCTATGCACTGACTTTTAAAAAGCCTTGATCATTTCTGATATGGAAATGCCACTAACTTTGACTTCCAATCTCTTTTTTTTTTTTCATCTTTTTTAAAAACAATAATAGTAAGCCCCTTCCTGCTATTATAAAATGTTGTTGTTGTTAAGTGTCACAGAGTCAGTTCCTACCCATAGCAACCCTGTATAGGGTTTCCAAGGAGATGCTGAGAGTTTGCACTGCGAACTTTGCAGTTCAAACAATCTTGCAATTGTGTGCTTATCCTACAGTGCCACACAAAAGAGATCAATCACGGGTAATATAAGAATGGTATAATATCATATATCCTGTATGTGTTGTTGAAGTTGGTTTAAATCAGGTAGAATAAGCCACTTTATCAATGGCCTATAATCTTATCAAAAAACTTAAGAAGCCCTCAACTAATGAAAGCACTGTTATAGGCTTATAAATATTCAGTGAAGTCAATTACACAACAGTAGCTTGTTGTTATTGATCTTGTTGAGTACCATCAAATCAGTTCTGACTCATGGAGACCCCTGCATAGGGTTTCTGAGGAGCAATTGGTAAATTCAAACCAGCAACCTTGCAGTTCAATCCACCTTGGCAGTCGAGTGCTAATCCTACAGTGCCATATCAGGACTCCAGAAAAGTACCTACTTGTAGATAATACACTTTAGACCATATAACAGAAAACTTTAAAAGGGAGACAAACTTTACTCAAGAAAGATCCACATAGAAATAGAAGCTTGTGAGGCTTGATCACTTTCTCACCCATAGATCAGATCCATCTTGGCATTTTGCAGGCAATAAAGGTTAAATCTCTAAATGAGGGTAGAATGATTAGTTCTAGGTAGGCATGATTAGTTGGAATTAATAATTGTTTTAAACTCAATCATTGTGTTACCTGCTACTTATATATATTCTCCTTCCTTCTTGAATATGTATATAATTGGGGTTGTTCTGCTTTCCTATTCTTTACTATCTCACCCTTCTTTTAACCTTCAAATAACCACAGACCACTGTTTCCAACCTAACTACTTGTCTTGGTAAGACTCTCAAACTCTAAATGGACTAAAACGATCTTTGGTATGATTTTCTCACATGTCCCAACACTGTTGTTGTTAAGTGTTGAGTTGGTTCTGACTCTTAGTGACCCTGTATAGGATTTCTGAGGAGCAACTGGTGAGTTTGAACCACTACCCTTGCAGTTCAAACTGACCTTGTGATCCAGTGCTTATCCTACCATGCCACACCAGGACTCCAAGTCCAGTATCACTTCTGTCTCTCCCTAAGGGGAAACATACAGCTGATGTCAAAAGCATGTATGATAAAAGGAAATAATATGTGCACATTGGGCTTCACCTTAAATCATCTGTTCCAAAGTCATGAACCTGTTGAGTGAATATTTTGAAATTACTTGTATGCTGTGTTTTATATATTTCGATACTTTTTACCAATATGTAAGCATGGTGGCTCTATAGAACAAATGAAGGGCTATGAACCACAAGGTCAGTGATTCAAGCTCACTGTTCACTTGGTGGAAGAAAGATAATGCTTTCTGCTCCGGCCTCAGAAACGTTATACAGGGTCACTGTAAGTAGGAACTGACTTGATAACACTTAACAACAACAACAACAAAACCAATATAGTAAAGTTTTGAATATTGTAATTTCTATAATATGGAGTCCTGGTGTGGTGCTATAGAATAAGCACTGGACTGCTAACCAGAAGGTCAGCAGTTCAAACCCACCAACCACTCCTTGGAAACCCTATATAGGGTCGCTATGAGTTAGAACTGACTTGATGGCACATGTCAACAATGACGAATTTCTATAACATAGGGATCACATCTTTTCCTTGTAAGTGCTAATGGATTAATTTATACCCTTAGATTTGATGAACCAGGAAAAGTACAATAGAAAGGGTATTACTAATAGCTTCACTGACACATCTTGTGACTTATTTGAATTTAAAACATGTCAGCACCCTATATCAACAATATGCTACTAAATGCTAACTTTTCTTCCTGATTACTACTCTTCCATCTCACGTCTATTTGAGACTATACTTGTGCGGATCCTCACATTTGTAGATAGAGATTAACATCATACACATCTGGGTGAGCAAATGCAGTAAGTCTCTGAATTATGAATATCTGATTTACAGATAACTCATACTTGCACTTTAATGTTAAGTAAATCTGCTCTCATTGTGAAATAATTGGCCATCCCTAGTGGTGGTGGTATGCCGTGGAGTCGGTTCTGACTCATAGTTACCTTGTATAAGGTCAGTAATTTCCAACTGCTGACCTTGAGGTTTGCAACCCAACTCATAACCACTACTCTACCAGAGCTCCTTTACCCAAACAAATTCTTCATCACAATCATCTTCATTTTCTGCTCATGCAGCTTGTAAATTACTGAAAAGTCTTCAAGCCTTTTCCTGCACAAAAGTAAGGCTAAATACGGACTATCTGCGTCTCTTCCACTTACCTGCAAATTTAACTTAAAACACCTGTAAGAACAGTTCTTGTTGGTAACCCAGAGACTGCCTATATATATACACATAAGTAAAATACAGCTAGACATGTGTAGAATATATGATTGTTTCCATTAAACTTAAATCCACCAGAAAAAAATCATAAATTAGCTTAAAAATCTACTAGAAAAAAATCTACTAGAGTTATTGCATTTATATATTGTTATTGTTGTTGTTAAATTCTGTCATGTTTGATTCTAATTCATAGTGATCTTTATAAGTTTTACAAGGAGCAAGTAGTGGATTTGAACCACAGACTTTGCAGTTAGCAGTCCAGTGCTTTTTCCTATAGTGTCACTAGATTACCTTTATAGTTGACTTTATATTCTATTTTATAATCAAATCAAGAAATATAATTTCTTATCATGAAACCTATTTATATAAAGGTTTCAGATATGTTTAGGTAAGATATCATTATGGGATCTAAGAGTTTCAGCGATCAATCAAGCAGAGAGTTTTGAAATAGCATATTTCATTTTAAATGTGTGCCTTTCTCCACAGCACCAATGTTTTGGTGTAAACTGAAAAGTAAACAACCCTTTAATTAATGTTGATCAAGATTATTTGCTACTGGAAATAAGAGAGCACAAAAAGAGTTTCTAATCATCAATCTTTTCACAGCCATTTTTACCTCTTTATTCCTTAGACTATAGATGATTGGATTCAACATGGGGGTCAAAACCACATAGAGTAAAGCCATAAATTTATCTATTTCCTGTGAATCTACAGCAGAAGGCTTCAGGTACATAGAAAGAGCTGTCCCATAAAATAAAACTACCACAGTCAGGTGGGCTGCACATGTTGAAAAGGCTTTGCTTCTGCCATCCACTGAGCTGATTCTCAGAATATTGGAGAGGATGAAGCCATAAGAGATACAAATAAGGAGCATTGGCATAGGAAGGAGAAGTATGCTGATCACCAGCATCAGGAATTCTACCATGGAGGTATCTACACAAACCAGTTTCAAGACAGCCAGAATTTCACAGGTGAAATGATTAATGATGTTATTACCACAGAGAGACAACTGTAGCACAGATATTGTTTCCACAAGGGCAGTGAGGCAGCCCGTCACCCAGGAGCCAGCTGAAATGTGTGCACAAACTCTCCTGTTCATGATGATGGGATACCTAAGGGGGTTGCAGATAGCTACATACCGGTCATATGCCATCATGGATAGGAGCACACACTCAGTGGACCCCATGGCAAGAGAGAAATACATCTGAACGGCACACCCAGAGAATGAGATGGTGTTTCTTCCTGAAACAAAGTTGACCAGCATTGGAGTGAGAGCAGAAGAGGTATACCAGATGTCCAAAAAGGAGAGGTTGCTGAGGAAGAAGTACATGGGGGTGTGTAGGTGGGTATCCAGAATGCTGATGGAGATCAGAATAATATTGCCCAGCAAAGTGATCAAGTACATCAGCAGGCACAACATAAATATGATGATCTCAACTTTGGGGTAGTGGGCAAATCCCAGAAAAATGAAATTTGAAAGTATTGTACAGTTTGTCTTGAACATTTTATTCCTTCACGCACACCTGTAATCGTGAATATAAGTAAATAATTTAAACTCAACCAACTTTTCAGGAATTTTTTTCTAGTGGTACTTTAAAGCAGTCATTGTCCTAAGAATAGTACTAGCAACGTCACATTAATGATTCATTCATTTGATATGTATTGAACACAACACATACTGAATACATTATAAGGCACCAAGGATCTTATTGCACAAAGTCTGCATTCAACTTACAATCAAATAGAGGACATAAGTACATGAACAATTACAATAATATAAGTGTGCCACAGAGCGCTAGGCAAACAAGAGTCAGAGCCTTAACTCTAGGTTGGGGTATCTGCTCAGTGAAAACTAATCAGGTCAAAGAACAAGCCTGCTGAGCAATGTTTGTAAAAGTTATAATGAGAGAGGCATTGCTTATGATTCACAACACTAAATTTTATTTTCATATGAAAGATGCACATTCTAGAATATCAAGAGATGAGTTTAGGATAACAGGGAAAAATCACCTCACTACCTTGATACCTGATTTCTGTACTAAAAAGGAATTTTTTAACATGGAAATGTCTTTCCTTAGAAATCATTTTTAAGACTATTTTATTACTTGAATGAAATTCTTTGCAACTGATCACATATGGAGACATGTGCTTAATGCCTACTGGCTTGTATGATAGAATTCAAGATAGAATTCCTAAGCACAGCTACATGTTTTCATTGCTGTCAATGTTTCCAACCTCATCTTCTTCCAATTCTTTACCCCACATATACACTTTATGCTCTGAAATTGCAACCAACTTTTATTTCCCCATATCACCATATTAACTCATTAAAATTCAGCCTTCTTCATGCTCTGCTAAAATTAAAACCCCCAAATGATGAAAGACTAAGAAAAATGTTATTGCTTGTTATTAGGGAGATGAATTTTAGACATTTATGGCCCTCAAACATTTTGACCAGTACACACTGCCACATTCACTAAGGTCTTCTCTATTGCCACTTTCCCACATGGTTGTTGTTGGTGATTATATGCCATGGAGTCGTGTAGCACCCAATTTTCTGGTTCTTTCTCTGCCTTCTCCCTTACTATCCTCCCTGGCTTCTCTCCACCATTCTTTTGACTTTTTCAGAAGCAAAATAATGATAAATCCTCCTTTTTATTACCCATTCCCTTATCCTTCACTTATTTATACCCTTACAACCAAGTCAGTTTATCTATATATATTCTCTTAAATGATGTATGATTCTAGCTGTTATGATTAAGTTATTCAAACACATTCCCCTCTTTCTTTTCCATAATATCAGTGCCAAAATTAACTAAGAGAACTTCTAATGCAGCCCTTTCATTTTAAACTTGAGATATGCTTGGAGGAGCTATGGTAGCATAGTGGTTACAAATCAGGCTGCTAATCTCAAGGTCGCAGTTCAAAACTACCAGCTGTTCCACAGAAGAAACATGAGACTTTCTGCTCTGGTAAAGATTTACAGCCTTGGAAATCCTGTACAGGGTTGCTATGAGTTGAAATTGACTCCATGGCACATAACAACCACCACAACCATGAGGTAAACAAATCTTGGACATAAAATCAAATATCTGTCTTGTGTTAAGTGCTCCTTTATCCAACTCAGTATTTCTTCCTACCATCTGGGACTTCTTTTTAAAAATACATACCTCCCTTTTGGTTTTTTGGTGTAGCTGACAGCCATTACTGAATTTTGTAGACCTGAGAATACAAGAAGGGAAGGATAATGTCTGTCCCCATTTACCTCAGCATGTATGATAGGCATCTTCCTTTTGGGTTAGAGATTTAAAGTTGATCTTCAGCAAGGTATTTTGTATAAATCCAGTTTAGTGCTCAAAGAAGTAAAGAATCTGAAATTTTAAATTCTGATAACAACTGTGTGGAAACTATGCTAAAATCAGTTGTGTAGAGGCATTTTTATTCAAATGATTGCAGTGGAAAGTAATCTTGGTGGTCTTTGTTACTAAGAGTCAACCCAAATCTAACTAGGTTCACAAAAATTTCTTAGAGACACCACACTGTGACTTTGTTCTGTCCAAATCATTACCTATCATCTATCCTTCTCAGAATTTCAAAGGGTTAGCCCAGGAACTAAGATGCTATTTAAGTCTCCTGCTGCTATGAGGGACCTTTCAACTCCCTTAACAATTTGGTGGTGTGATTCCGAAACATAAAGAAGTTAAGACACTTTCCAGTTCTCTAGGGTATGATTACAAGTTCCATTAACGAATTGGTAACAAACAAACAAGGAAAAGATGAAAATTTCAAATGGTTTAAAATCAGTTGTACCAGAAAAAGGTCTGTTTGAGCATTAGTTGTATGAGCAGAACTTGCGTAGCTAATGTGTCTGTTCTGTAGATTGTCTTTACATTACAGCCAACAGTGCAATTAAAAGAAGTGTAGAAGCTAAAGAGGATAGAGAGAAACACTGTAAACTGATGATATATGGAGGGGATAATAATCAATTTAATGAAACAAGCTATATGAATGGTTAAATGTGAAGGTGATGATGTGCCCTGTAAACTTTCACTCAATGCAAAATAAAAACATTTAATTTAAAAAAAAAAAAAAGAACTGTAGAAATGCATGACCTTATGACCTGTTATTTTGTAAAGGTACTCATTTATTCTCAGAAATCTGGTCAACTATCTCAGATCTATGTAATAGAAGATAAAATAGCCTTACTGAGTTTTTATCATAGAGGTTACGAATCAGGCTGCGAACCGCAAGGTCAGCAGTTTGAAACTACCAGCTGTTCTGTGGAAGAAAATGAGGCTTTCTGCTCCCGTAAAGATGAGGCTTTCTACTCCCGTAAGGATTTGCACCCTCGGAAACCCTGTACAGGGTCGCTATGGGTCGGAACCGACTCGACGGCACTTAACAACAACAACAAAAGATTTATAGCCTCGGAAACCCTGTACAGGGTCGCTATGGGTCGGAACCGACTCGACGGCACTTAACAACAACAACAAAAGATTTATAGCCTCGGAAACCCTGTACAGGGTCGCTATGAGTCAGAACAGACTCCACGGCACAAAACAACAACAACAGCAAAGTCAAGAGAGCAAGCACTGACCGCACAAATATTTTACTTCTATCAAATGTTTCTTGAATGAACTAAGTGCCTAGCACAGTGTTGGTGATTTTAAAACTATATAATATTAAATGTACTATTTATCTTCAAGGAGACTTGAAAAGCACTTACAGAAAAGAAAACCTCATTGACTACGTCTATTCTGTAAAACATGAGTTAGAATCAACTCGACAGCCATGGGTTTGGTAGCTCTCTGGGTTTTCTATTGTCTTTTCTTTCTTTCTCTCTATGCTTTGTATTAATTGTCTTTTATAAGTATAATGATTATGAGATGGATAGTCAATGGGAAATAATGCCGTTTTAACAATATTGTCTTCTGGTCAATGGTGTGTTTTTCCATTTATTGAATCATCTTTAACTTCTTTCAATATTTGATTGCTCTCAGTATTCAAATCTTATCTTTCTGGTGTCATATTTATCCCTAAGTATTTTTATGGTTTTTGATGCAATTAATGAAACTGTTTTCTTAAGTTTATATTTGGAATATGCATATAAAAAGTCGGTGTGATGACTCCTGTATCCTGTAACTTTGATGAACGGATTCATTAGTTCTAACAGTATATTTAAGAGTCCTGCTGTGGCACTCTAGGAGCTGTACTAGACCACAAGGTCAGTTTGAACTGCAAGGTGGTGGTTCAAACATACCAGCCACTCCTCAGAAACCTTGTACATTGTCGCTGTGAGTTGGAACGGACTCAATGGCACTTAACAACAAACAACAACATGAGCAAAATATTAAATGATACAGAAAACATCAAAAGAAGATGGAAGAAATAGCAGAGTCATTTTATCAAAAAGAAATGGTTGATGTTCAACCATTTCAAGAGGTAGCATATGATCAAGAGTCAATGACACTGAAGGAGGAAGTCCAAGGTGCATTGAAGGAATTGGCAAAGAACAAGGCACCAGGAATTGATGGAATAAAAATTGAAACCTTTCAGGAAAGTGAGGCAGCACAGGAGGCACTCACTCATCTCTGCCAAGAAATTTGGAAGACAACTATCTGGACAACTGATTGGAAGAAATCCATATTTGTGCCCATTCCAAAGACAGGTGACCCAACGGAATGCAGAAATCATCGGACAATCTCTTTGATATCCCATGCGAGTCAAGTTTTACTAAAGGTAATACAGAAACGGCTGCAAGCATACATTGACAGATAACTTCCAGAGTTTCAAGTCAAATTCAGAAGAGGCCGTGGAATGAGGGATATCATTGCTGATGTCCGCTGAATCTTGGCTGAAAGCAGGGGATTTCAGAAAGATGTTTACCTGTGCTTTATTGACTATGCAAAGGCTTTCGATTGTGTGGATCATGACTAGCTATGGACAATATTGTGAAGTATAAATATTCTGGAACATTTAATTGTGCTCATGAGGAATCTGTACCTGGACCAAGAAGCAGTTGTTTGAACAGAACATGGCAACACTGAATGTTTTAAAATTAAGAAAGGTGTGCAACAAGGTTGTACTCTTTCACCATATTTATTCAACCTGTATGCTGAACAAATAATCCGAGAACGAGAAGCTGGATTATATGAAGAAAAACGTGGCATCAGGATTGGAGGAAGACTCATTAACAACCTACAACATGCAGATGATACAACCTTGCTTGCTGAAAGTGAAGAGGACTTAAAACATTTACTGATGAAAATCAAAGAGCACAGCCTTCGGTATAGATTACATCTCAATGTAAACAAAACAAAAATCCTTACCACTTGGCCAATAAACAACATTCTTATCAATGGAGAAAATATTGAAGTTGTCAAGGACATCATTCTTCTTGGATCAGCTATCAACACTCACAGAAGCAGCAGTCAAGAGATCAAACGACGTATTGCATTAGGCAAATCTGCTGCATAACACCTTTTGAAAGTGTTGAAGAGCAAA